CATATTTGATGCTAGGAACTTTTTCTAACATTTTTGATGTGATGGCATTAGCATGAATTGGACCCTGCCTGCTCTTAGCTGGTGCGGTCATCACAACAATGACTTTTCTTTCTCCATAATTCCCTATGTATATCCTCAGACCATCAATGTATGTTTCAATGACCTTGTCAGACGAATAGCTTCAGATAATAAACACCTGGTTCTTCTTCACTTGTAGTGGCTGGCATAAGTAGAATTTCAATATCTTTAACAAGATCTTCATGAAAATGTAGAGTTTTAGGGACACGTCTCATGATTTCATCATTATATAGCCAGGCTGGTGGGTCTGAAAAAAAACATGACTTTTGAATGCAAGATGTATTATTATGTGTGTGTGTGATATAGTTCTATATTTTATTTGTTTTATTTTTATCACAGCATGGAGCTGAGTAATATTAATTTGTGTTTTGCAACTTAATATGAACAACCAACTATAAGCCAGCTTACAAGGTACATAGCAAGATCTGAATTATTGTGTAAGTACAATTATACTCTTGCCGGTATGTATAAACTATTTAAAAACTATTACTAAAGTATTATAATATGCAATAGAATTGTGTGCAGAATTATACTTGTGGGCCTGAAAAGAAACTACTTAACTTTTGTGAGTTTTGAGATTTTCAGATGCAAGACATGATGCATGTATTAGTGTGTGATTTTAGTTAGTTTGCAATTGCTTCACTAGTACATGTATTACAGCATCACAATGAATTGTGTGTCAAAGCTTCTTGTTTCACAACTTAATGTTACAACCAGCTATAACTGCCAGCTTCACAGCATGGTCTGAATTATTGTGTAAGTACAATTATGCATGTGTGCAGTGAACGTTAGTAATTGGTTACCTTGTGGTGGGGTAGGTCCATCAGTTTCCTCATCACCAGCACTTGCTTGAGCTTTTTTATCTAAAGAGAACAAGAGATATAAGTTCAGGGTCACTTAAATGATTGTATTGTCTATTGACATTAACCTCCATCAATATGAAGCACTTTATGTGTGTAGATATACAAATTGTAGATATGCAAAATTTTCATACTGTACAGTAATTTGAGACTGAATGTGTTAGTACATACCATATTCAAACTCTAGTTGTTTCCAGTAATTTAGTGCAGCATACACATATAGAGCAGCAGCACGGGCTGCAAATGGCTTCCATCCTTTAGTGGATTCTTTGTCACCATCACCCCAGTCACCAATACCCTTGATAACAATAGCACTGACACCATGTTCAGGAGCATAATCAATCGCAGTCATTATTCCAGCTCCTTCCATTTCTCCTGCAATAGCATCAGGTTTTTGGGCAAGTAATTCCCGTTTAACGTCAGGATTATCGATCAGACTGCCTGTAGATATAAGGACACCAGTAGAGACTTTAATATTGTGTGGCATTTTAAAACCATGAGGAGGTCGGAACTTGTGTATAATAGCTCGCTTTACTTGGTGTTGAGGGCCTCTCTGATACTCATTTTGACCCACTCCTTCACGTTTATTTGTGAAATCACAGATTGTTCCCGAAATGATAACATCACCTAATTTCTGCTTTCCTGGATCCATCCCAAAACAGACACCAACAGCAACAACATATTTGATGCTAGGAACTTTTTCTAACATTTTTGATGTGATGGCATTAGCATGAATTGGGCCCTGCCTCCTCTTATCTGGTGCTGTCATCACAACAATGACTTTGCTTTCTCCGTAATACCCTATGAATATCCTCAGACCATCAATGTATGTTTCAATGAGCTCTTCAGACGAATGCTTCAGATAATAAACAACTGGTTCTTCTTCACTTGTAGTGGCTGGCATAAGTAGAATTTTAATATCTTTAACAAGATCTTCATGAAAATGTAGAGTTTTAGGGACACGTCTCATGATTTCATCATTATATAGCCAGGCTGGTGGGTCTGAAAAAAAACATGACTTTTGAATGCAAGATGTATTATTATGTGTGTGTGTGATATAGTTCTATATTTTATTTGTTTTATTTTTATCACAGCACGGAGCTGAGTAATATTAATTTGTGTTTTGCAACTTAATATGAACAACCAACTATA